CCGCAGAACTCAAACCTGAAAGATTTCGATCTTCTATACCTTTTATGTAGAAAGGACAGACGTTTAAAGAGCCTTTTAAAAGGCTGTAGGAAAGGATAGTTTGTCTTTATGTAGAAAAATATGAATTTTTTGCTCGTTAATTTTCCTGTTGGAACAGTGTAGATTGACCGTTAGGTTCTGGCGCCTCTGTTGGTTTATAAAATGGAACCTAATTAGATTCATAAATAAATAAAAGCAGTTAAAGGTCTGAAGCTTTCTTTAACCTTTAGCCCAATATTTAGTCTCTTTTGTGTTTTCTTTCAAGGTTTTCCTGAGTTTAGCTTAATCCATCTTCTAATAAAGGGGTTCCTAAACATTTCTGCATCTGCCCCCCCCCCTCTAAAAAAATAAAAATTAAACATCAAAATTATGATAATCACTGCACTCTATATTCATTTATACATTTATAGAGTAGTACTCCTCTTTATTTATTTAGAATCAATTCATTTAAATAAAATTTAAATAAAGGTTAAACTGATTCAGTTATTTTAATTGATAGAGTTGAAATTTATTTTTTATTATTTAATGGTACGTACAATTTTTTCTGATATGCATTTTACAATTTAATAGGACATTTATTATTTAAATAAATATTAGACCTCCTTATTTTATGGTGCATTTGTTTATTTCATTTGACATTCACATGTACAGTAGTAGCCATTCAAAATGTCCCCACTTTCCTCGATGGGTCCTTTGCTGGTCCCCTACAATTCCTTTTTAAACATCAATCTGACCCCCACTTTAGAAATTGTTGTTCTAATATATAATTCTGCCTCCACCGTGCCTTATCATGGGGATGGTGTTTTCTGTTTAGGCTTCCTTCATATAAAGTTTTTTACTTCACATTCTTGGTTTTCATACAAAACTCAGCTGATCTTTTTATGTAGCTTTACGTAAATGATCACATTCCTTCATCTTCACAGGTATTGAATACTTTCAACTTGTCTGTAAAATAAAAAATCTAACAGATCATACAAGAGAAAATAAAACTCTGCATGGATCTGTGATGATGGTTTGGAGGAGAAGCAGAAATTCTGCAGTGAAAATCACTGCATGAATCAAACAAAAGGCTTTGTGAGGCGAGACGATTCAGAGCTGTTTCAAGGCTGCTACCTTTAGAGCTCATAAAAGTTGGAATGAGCCTGATAGCTGCAAAACACTCTGACAGAAATGTGGTTCTATAATCCCAACCACAGTGTAACTTGGACTCATTTCTTTATCCAAAGCTAAAGGTTAACAAGAGCTACTGTATCCTGGTTCTTCACTACATCAACAGAACAGCAGTTCCGGTAATTTTATGCTCATATATTTTTGAATGGGCACCAGGCAGTGCAATTCTAAAGCAATTTTAACCCCAAATTGCTGCTCCGTGTATAATTAATCTATTTGCAGCAGTTGTGGGTCATGTGCACAGATGAGTTTGTTTCCTGCCCTCTGCAGCTGCACAATTATTTCCCCTGTGTTCCCTCAGCAGCGCAAATTACACGTATCTTCTTGTGGACTCATAATGTTGGGTTTAAAGCACACACGAGTAGCTATTGATTCTTTGTTGCAGACCAGTATGTTCAGCATGTTCTCTTTGTGAAGAAAATTCACAGAGACTGATGAGTTTTTCTCATGATAGAGGTAGAAATTGAGCTGCAGGCAATCAAAGGGCATTTCTTTTGTTTGAACATTTCAAATTTTCTTAACTTTCAGATTAAGAGTGTTAATTGGGCACCACGCTTCTTTTGGGAGCGCTATATGAGAAGGTTCTTCTCTCATGGCTTGCAGGTACCCTAAACTACCCTTAAACCTGGAACTTTCTAGTAACTTAGTGGTTAAATTCCAGGAATGTTCATGTTCTAACAGGTTACTTTGATATAGCTTCCATGGCAAAAAATTGAAAAAGTAATTATCACTTGCCAAGAAATTCCCTTTAACCCGTTATAGGGCACTGAATGAAATGCTCTTTGAAATGCAAAAATTACCTTTGAAACATAAAAAAAATATGTATTTGATGCCTAAAATCCAGGTTAGGGTATTAACAATAAAAGGTAACTTGCCCTAATATGTAAAAATAAGAAAAACAAAAAGAAAAAGTGAAAAAGTAACCTTAGAACTTAAATATTTTTACTTTGCTTATTAACTTATTGACATAACCTTTTAAATTTTCAATTAGCTTTTAACCTTTTTTCTTAACTTCTTAACTTTTTTCAACTGAATGTACTGTAGGTAACATCATCCAAGGGCTCATCTGATTGGTCAATGCCAAAATGACATGTGCAGCCACAC